TTCAATGAAAAGGAATTCTAAATTCTTTTTTTTTTTTTTGACAGGCATAGTGGACAGTGAGAGAGAGAGACAGAGAGAAAGGTCTTCCTTTGCCATTGGTTGGTTCACCGTCCAATGGCCGCTGCGGCCAGCGCACTGTGCTGATCCGATGGCAGGAGCCAGGTACTTATCCTGGTCTCCCATGGGGTGCAGGGCCCAAGCACTTGGGCCATCCTCCACTGCACTCCCTGGCCACAGCAGAGAGCTGGCCTGGAAGAGGGGCAACCGGGACAGAATCCGGTGCCCCGACTGGGACTAGAACCCGGTGTGCCGGCGCTGCAAGGTGGAGGATTAGCCTAGTGAGCCACGACGCCGGCCCAGGAATTCTAAATTCTTAATATCAAGTTAGCTTACCAACAGATTAAGAAAGTAGAACATGAATCCAAGTAATGAAAAATCTCTGTAATCATTTGTCAACAAAGTTAAAGTCCTTTTTTGCTCAACTTTTGTTTTAGGTACAGTAGACATGGAATAAAATGGAATGCAACTGGCCTAATGAGAAAGAGTTTAGTGTATACGTTCCATACTAGATTGCTTTAATAAATAGTAATTTCACAATGGCACAGTGTATTCAGAAACTAAGCATAGATATTAGTAAAATTTCATTAATAAACACAGAGAAGTATTTTGGATACACAGGTTGGATCTGTTAAATTCTTAAAGATGAAAATCTAATCCTTGTGAATTTCTTGTCTCACCCTAGAAGCAAATCATTACAGTCATATTAATGTGAACAATAAAAGTACCTATTTTTCACATAGAAAGTGATTCCATAGATAATTGGTAATGAGTATATTAAGGATTTATAACATCTTTGTGTTTCGTACCTAAGTTTTTATATTGACTTAGGAGACCAAAAAGAAAAATCCAAAGAATAGAATCAAAACCATGTGTATGTTTGAAAAGAGAGAGAATAAAATTTCAGATTTTTTTTTTCAATTTAGAAGCTTGATCTATGGAGCAAATAGAGTGACAAATACATTAAAAGACAATGCCAGTGTATAATTAAGAGAAATTCTTTTCCATAATGAACAAACAACAGATGATGTTTACCTCTTTGAAATTAAGAAAGGAAATTATAATGTATTACTTTAGATATAAAATTAGCCATAACAAAAAGAAAGCACTTAACAATATCTGTTAGTAAGAATGAGTCAGGGTGTGCATATTGGCACAGTGGTTAAAGATACCATTGGGACACCCACATTCCATATCAAAGTGCCTGGATTTGAGACCTGACTCTGCTTCTGATCCAGCCTCTTGCCAAAGGAAACTCAGGTGGAGTTCCTGGCTTCTAGTTTAGGGCTGACCAAGTCCTGGATGTTGCTGGCACTGGGGAGTGAACCAGAGGATGAAAGATCTCTCTGCCTGGATAACTCTATCATTCTATCTTTCAAATAAATAGATAAAATACATCACTTTGAAATTAAAGAGAATAGGTGAGTGGGGAATGCAAAAATAGACTTTTTATATATTTTTATTTCACAGACATATATATCAATGACAATTTTAGATTTGATTGAGTAACTCTGACTTAATTTTGTCACTAAGATAATCCATTATCAGTAATCAAAATTCATTAAAACAAAATTATAAAATAAATTGCCATTCTAACAATATTTAACTAATATATTGTTAGAAAGATAGCCCATGTCTTGGAATGAACTTAATGGGCAGATTGATAGTTATTGGTTATACATTAGAATAAATGAAAATAGTCCCCAGCTTATCATGACTATTAGGAACAAACCAGTAAAAATGCAAGCTAAGTACATTGGTGAGTATATTAATTCAACCTCACTGTGATGTGTGTTTAAAAAATGTCTTTTAGAATTGAAATTTTAAATAACATTTTGAAACTAGTTGAAGATCATACTTCTATATAAAGATGACTAAGCCTGCTCGATATTTTGAGAAAATAGATTTATGAACTCTAATAATTATCATCCTGTAAAGTTTTATTATTCACTCAGTGGGAATACTTAGCAACAGGAACATTGTTTTTCAAACTAGTGATAACAAATGAGAACCATATATTCTAAGTGATTAAAATTAACCCACATTATTTTTAATATTACTAATATTATATTAATATGTCAGAATGCCAGAGTCAGCATTTTTTTGTTCATGGCAAGCATTTTAATGCATTTTGAAAGGTAGGAATATTTTAGTTTTTATGCACAATTTTAATTATAATATAAATGATGGAGTACATTTTAAGCAAAATGTTAATATTTGAAATGATGTATTATAAAAAGTCTCAGATTAATTTTTTTAAACTTTTATTTAATGAATATAAATTTCCAAAGTACGATTTATGGATTACAATGGCTTCCCCCACATACCGTCCCTCCCATCCACTACCCTCCACTTTCCCACTCCCTCTCCCTTCCATTCACATCAAGATTCATTTTCGATTATCTTAATATACAGAAGATCAGCTTAGTATACATTAAGTAAGGATTTCAACAGTTTGCTCCCACACAGAAACATAAAGTGAAAAATAATAGATGATTTTTTTTAAATGATGATGAAATCAGATCAGACCTATTGTCATGTTTAATCCCAGTGAGAGTCAAGTTGGGAGTTGATAATTTCTTTCTTTTTTTTTTTTTACAGAGGATCAGTTTAGTATACATTAAGTAAAGATTTCAACAGTTTGCACCCCCATAGAAACACAAAGTGAAATATATTGTTTGAGTACTCGTTATAGCATTAAATTTCAATACACAGCACATTAAGGACAGAGATCCTACATGAGGAGTAAGTGCACAGTGACTCCTGTTGTTGACTTTACCAATTGACACTCCTGTCTATGGCATCAGTAGTCTCCCTATGCTCCAGTCATGAGTTTCCAAGGCTATGGAAGCCCTCTGAGTTCTCCGATTCTTATCTTGTTTAGACAAGGTCATAGTCAAAGTGGAGGTTCTCTCCTCCCTTCAGAGAAAGGTACCTCCTTCTTTGAAGACCTGTTCTTTCCACTGGGATCTCACCCGCAGAGATCTTTTGCCAGAGTGTCTTGGCTTTCCATGCCTGAAATACTCTCATGGGCTTTTCCGCCAGATCCGAATGCCTTCAGGGCTGATTCTGAGGCCAGAGTGCTATTTAGGACATCTGCCATTCTATGAGTCTGCTGAGTATCTCACTTCCCATGTTGGATCACTCTCCCCTTTATTTATTTCATCGGTTAGTGTTAGCAGGTACTAGACTTGTTTATGTGCTCCCTTTGACTCTTAGTCCTTTCATTATGATCAATTGTGAACTGAAATTGATCACTTGGAATAGTGAGATGGCATTGGTACATGCCACCTTGATGGGATTGAATTGGAATCCCCTGGTATGTTTTTAACTCTACCATTTGGGGCAAGTCAGCTTGAGCATGTCCCAAATTATACATCTCTTCCCTCTCTTATTCCCACTCTTATGTTTAACAGGGATCACATTTCAGTTAATTTTTAACACTTAAGAATAACTGTGTATTAATTACAGAATTAAACCAGTCATATTAAGTAGAACAGACAAAAAAACTACTAAGAGGGATAATGTATTAAGTTGTTCATTAACAGTCAGGGCTATGCTGATCAAGACACCATTTCCCATAGTGTCCATTTCACTTCAGGAGGTTTCCTTTTTGGTGTTCAGTCAGTTGTCACCGATCAGGGAGAACATATGGTATTTGTCCCTTTGGGACTGGCTTATTTCACTCAGCATGATGTGTTCCAGATTCCTCCATTTTGTTGCAAATGACTGGATTTCATTGTTTCTTACTGCGGTATAGTATTCTAAAGAGTACATATCCCATAATTTCTTTATCCAGTCTACCATTGATGGGCATTTAGGTTGGTTCCAGGTCTTAGCTATTGTGAATTGAGCTGCAATAAACATTAGGGTGCAGACCGCTTTTTTTTTGCCAATTTAAATTCCTTTGGGTAAATTCCAAGGAGTGGGATGGCTGGGTCGAACGGTAGGGTTATCTTCAGGTTTCTGAGGAATCTCCAGACTGACTTCCATAGTGGCTTGACCAGTTTGCATTCCCACCTACAGTGGGTTAGTGTCCCTTTTTCCCCACATCCTCGCCAGCATCTGTTGTTGGTAGATTTCTGCATGTGAGCCATTCTAACCGGGGTGAGGTGAAACCTCATTGTGGTTTTGATTTGCATTTCCCTGATTGCTAATGACCTTGAACATTTTTTCATGTGCCTGTTGGCCATTTGGATTTCCTCTTTTGAAAAATGTCTATTGAGGTCCTTGGCCCATCTCTTAAGTGGGTTGTTCATTTGGTTTTTGTGGAGTTTCTTGATCTCTTTGTAGATTCTGGTTATTAACCCTTTATCTGTTGCATAGTTTGCAAATATTTTTTCCCATTCTGTCGGTTGTCTCTTCACTCTCCTGACTGTTTCTTTTGCAGTACAGAAACTTCTCAATTTGATGCAATCCCAATAGTTGATTTTGGCTTTGACTGCCTGGGAAGTGCACTATTTCTATAAGAGGAGAAAGGTGAACAAAACAGGCCATGTGGATTATCTACAGCAGAGGAATAAAACAGCTTTTCTGTCAGTGAGCTTATGGTGTGTCTGTTTGTTTTGAACTAAAAGGTTAAAAGAGTGCTGTGTTATTCAGGTTCAAACCCTTCACTGACCTCTCAACTTTTACAAGGTGCCTTAACAACTTCTCACATTTTAGTTACTGGTTCAAAGACAAAATGTTATGGGTGTGCACAGGGTTTGTCCCCTCAGATGCAAATAACTTGAAGCAAAACTAAATTCATTTTACTTTTCCTCTGGAACAGTGATTGTTGAGATTGGCTACTTGCAGTGCAAAGAGACTGAACTATGCTGTGCTTTTTGGATAAAACTTTTTCTGCCACATGTATTCCATGTAATATACTTGTACCATGCTTAAATAGTATTCCTTCTCACTGCCTATTAGGAAAGGGATTATAGTATTAATATAGTCTTGAAAATTTAGAATGAAATGTTTATTTTCAGGGAAAATTTTCAAATAACATGACACTATTTGTTAACCCTTACAAGGTTGATGGTGTCTAAGGTGCCCAAATTTCATTAAAATTTCTAATTCTTTAATTTCTACATTTTAGAATGTCAAAAGACCCAGATTTTATCAATTTTACCTGAAGAGACTCTGAAAAAAGTACAGACAAGCGGTTTTTGGAGAATTAAAAAAATTGAATGTCCCAAGTTCTTCAATATAAAATGCATCTCTCTGGCTTTTTAGTTATTTTTTCTACTTTTCCTCCATGCAGTAGATTACTGTTCCATTGCTCATTACAAGCCAGGCATCAGTTTTCAGAGAACAAAATCGCCATCTGCATTTGCAGTATCAATCAGTAACATATATCCTTAGGTCTTTAGATCTGAAAGAGATGTTGGATATCACCTTAGGTCAATTTTACATTTATATTTATGTGTGTGTGTGTGTGTATCATGGTTCTACCATAGATCTACTATGAACTATATGTTGTTCCAGCTAGGGAGAAAAGTCAAGTTTAAGTAGATTTCTGTTCTCCAGAGATACTAGTCTAGTGAAGAATCAGAATTTCTCATTGCTATGATTTGAATGTGGTTTCTCTCCTCTGAAACTGATCTTGAAATGTAATCTCCATTACCAGATATTACAAGAACAAAAGTGGAACCTGTAATAGGTGATTAGAGCTCTGCCCCCATGAATGGATTAATGCATGCATCCAATCAAGGATTAATGTGTTTGATTTTCTCAAGGGTATTTTTTCTAATATCCTTATGAGAGTATTTTTCTCATACTTTGAATCAGAGTATTATTTTTCTAGAAGTTCTTGTGGGGAGCAATCCGGACTAGACTGTTACTCGAATTAGGACTTATTCTATGCATCTGCTCTCCCACAATATGGCGCTGGGAGAGAAGTAAACAGCTTCCGCACAGCTGCCTCCAGTTCAACCAATTAACTGTAGGACTTGCTCCTGATTGGAGAGCAGCGTACTCGGCGTGTGGGCAGCCGAGTTGGGATTGGCAGAGAAGGACTATAAAGGAGGAGAGAGACGGCATGCACCAGGAACATCTATGGGGAACACCTAAGGGGAACACCTGTGCAGCCCCCGAGAGAACCGGCCGGCAGTGTGCCGCTCCCCTGCGGAAGTGGGGAATGCGGCCAGGGGGAACTGCCCTTCCACGGAGGTGGAAGGGATAGTAGCCAACCCGGGAAGAACCAGCAGCAAACCCGGGGAGGGCCGAGCAGACGAAAGAACAGCGCAGGGTTCAGTGTTGCTCCTCCACGAAGAGGGGGAGCGACATAATGGTGCCGTGACTCGGATAGGAAACCTGACTCGGATAGAAAACCTAGGACGGATAGGAAACCTAGAACGGATAGCAAACTTAGGAGGGAAGAAACGGGAAGAATTGGGAAAATATCGGAGAGAGAAACTAGCAAACAGCCTAGGGAAAATATCGGAGGGAGAGACTAGCAAACAGCCTAGGGAAAAGCCGGACGAAAAGGGTGCCGGAAGAAGCTATTGAAAGCCTAGGCATAGACTCAGATACGGACTACGGACTACGGGGGGAAGCTGGGAGAAATCTCTAAGGTCGAAAGCGAAAGTGAAAGCTAGAACAAACAGACTCGGATGCGGACTGTGGGGAGAGGCCAGGAGAAATGAGGGAGGAGTATCGTTGGAGGAAAGTTTGGGGAAACATACCGGGTAGAGAAAACTGTTAGGGAAATTGAAGCCGCGGGGGGCAGGCCAAGGCGGAAACGAAAGCCACTTTGGGGTTCTCAAGTTAGCCCGGGAATAGGGGACGAAAAGTTGAAACCAGAAGCTGAGACGTAAGCCAGATTGGGATCCGTCTGATTAGCCCGGGGAGCAAAGGACGGGAAGCCAAATCGTGGGGCGGAGACGTACGCTGGGTTGAATTCGCCAGGCTAGCCCGGGGAACTTGGATTGAATGCTAGTGGTGGAGACGCAAGCTACGCTGTGTTACTCGCGGAAGCCGCCGCGTGCAGAGAGCACGGGGCGTGAATAGATAGGGAACGGGGCTGGCGTAGGCCGTGGTGCGGACGCGAAGGGCGTGGAGACCGCGGAGCGCGGAGCCAAGCCGCACAAAGCCGGGAAGCCGCGCAGATGAGGCGCGGGCTGAAGCGGCTCAGAGCCGGCGAGGCGCGGAGAAGCAGCCTCGGGGCGGAGCCCGCTGGCGGGGCGAGGCGCCGGGAAGCTGCGCGGAGCCGTGAAGCTGCCGGCAGGGCGAGGCGCCGGGAAGCCGCGGGGATAAGAGAAAACAGAAGTTTGGAAGTGAAGTAAAAGAGAAATGGGAATGCTGGAAGATAGAAGTGAAATGGGAGAGGTAGGAATGCCCGGAGATAGAGAAATAGAGAAAAATAAGGCCTCCCCTCAACATGCCAATTAGAAGGCTTGGATTCGGTCTGCCTAATCAAGTGAGGCGATGAGCACCTGCGGGCAGCTAGCAGCTTATGCGCCGCAGGTCACCGAAGACAGGCACGAATTAACATCAGTAAGGCTTCCCCACAATACAATAATATTAAGCTTGGATTCGGTCTGCCTGATTTAAGGCGGTAAGCGCCAGCAAAGCTCGACCAGAGTATGAGCTGCAGGTCACCGAAGATAGGCACGAACCAACACTAATAAGTCTCCCCCACAATAAGGCAATGAGAAGGCTTGGATTCGGTTTGCCTGATAGGTCTTGTAAGTCCCCTGCAGGCAGAGCAGAGCATGCGCTGCAGGGCACCGAACACAGGCACGCATCAGCGCCTAAAAACCTCCTCACAACATGGCGAAGAGAGGACCCGGATTCGGTTTGCCTGATAGGACTTGTAAGAGCCTGTGACAACTCTAGCAAGTAGAGCAGAGTGTGTGCCACGGGACACCGAAGACAGGCGCGTATCAACGCTAAAAAATAAAAAGAAAGGGGGATCTGTGGGGAGCAATCCGGACTAGACTGTTACTCGAATTAGGACTTATTCTATGCATCTGCTCTCCCACAATATGGCGCTGGGAGAGAAGTAAACAGCTTCCGCACAGCTGCCTCCAGTTCAACCAATTAACTGTAGGACTTGCTCCTGATTGGAGAGCAGCGTACTCGGCGTGTGGGCAGCCGAGTTGGGATTGGCAGAGAAGGACTATAAAGGAGGAGAGAGACGGCATGCACCAGGAACATCTATGGGGAACATCTAAGGGAACCCGTGCAGCCCCCGAGAGAACCGGCCGGCGGTGTGCCGCTCCCCTGCGGAAGTGGGGAATGCGGCCAGGGGGAACTGCCCTTCCACGGAGGTGGAAGGGATAGTAGCCAACCCGGGAAGAACCAGCAGCAAACCCGGGGAGGGCCGAGCAGACGAAAGAACAGCGCAGGGTTCAGTGTTGCTCCTCCACGAAGAGGGGGAGCGACAGTTCTGGATGAGACGTTTCTGAGTTTCTCCCATGCCCCTGCCTTTGCCTAGGTGATGCCCTACACTGCCTCAGGACTCTGCCAGCAGTAAAGTGGTCCCCAACTGGGTCCCTATTTTTGGGCTACAAATGTCAGCCAGAATAAACTTTTTCTTTTGAGAATTTATTCAATCTGTGTTACTGTGTTTTTAGCAGCAGAAAATAGACAATGAGAATAAGCGCCAATATCAGTATTAAAGATGTTGATTAAGATATTTATGAAGACACTTTGGCTCAACCATGGAGGTGATAAATGAGAATATTGAGTGAATGAAAATATTAAGTTTGCTAATTCAACAAAACACTGATTTAAAAACCACTCATCTTGTTTAATTCCTTAGTTTTTTTCTGGTTACTTTCACCTTTATTATTAAAACATTTGTCCTTGTTTTCTTTTTTTAACTTTTATTTAATAAATATAAATTTTCAAAGTACAACTTTTAGATTATAGCCACTTTTTCCCCCCATAACCACCCTCCCACCCACAACCATCCCATCTCCCACTCCCTCTCCCATCCCATTCTTCATCAAGATTCATTTTAACTTATCTTTATATACAGAAGATCAATTTAGTATATCCATAGAGAATTGGTATTAAGCGAGTGTGACATATAAAATCCTAGAGTAGGGGCTTGTGTTGGGGCATAAATCCAGTTAAGCCAGCAACTCCAGGCATCCAATACGAATACTGATTCTAGTTCCAGCTGTTCCCTTTCTGACCTAACTCCTTACTAATGCATGTTGGAAAGCAATGGAAAATGGCCCAACCTGTTGGACTCCTAGTACCTACACCAGAGACCTGGATGGAGTTTCAGAATCCTACTTTCAACCTGCCCCAACCCTGAGCATTACTGCTATTTGGGGAGTGAACCAGTGAATGGAACATCTTTCTTTATTCTCTCTTCTCCTCTCTTCTCTTTCCTCTCCTCTTCTCTCTTTCTCTCTCTCCAACTCTATTTATTTCAAACAAATAAACGTTTTTTAAAAATTCTGACAAAATATGTATCTCTTTTAAAAAAGTCTCAGCAGTATAAGCACAGAAGTTTATACCATTAATGCTTACATTAAAAAAGAAAGAATTGGGGCTGGCATTGCGGCATAGTGGGTAAAGTAGACACTTGAGACACCTTTATCCCATATAGGTGGTGGTTAGAGTCCTGGATGCTCCACTTCCAATCCAGCTCCCTGCTGATGTGCCTGGAAAACCAGAGAAGGATGGCCCAAGTGCTCAGGCCCCTGCACCCATATGGGAGACCCAGAAGAAGCTCCTGACTCCTGGCTACAGATCTGCCCAGCTGTGGTGGCCATTTGGGGAGTGAACCAGCAGATGGAAGATTCTCTCTCTCTCTCTCTCTTTCTTTCCCTGTAAAGTCTGTTTTTCAAATAAAAATAAAGAAACAGCGGTCTCAAAGCAATAATGTAAACTTCCCCATTAAGAAAATGGAAAATGAGGACCAAATTAAATCTAAAGGTAAATAGAAGATAGAAAACAATCAAAATAAATCAGTCAACAAAGTTAAAAATAGAAAAAAATTAAGAAAAACCAATGAATGTTTTCTTTTAAAAATGAATAGATTTAATATGTGTATTGACCAAACCCAGCTACTTTTTAAATATACATATGAAAGAAAAATAACAAATTTCAAATATCAATGAAAAGGATTTCACAAAAGATCTTACAGGTACTGAAGGAAGTGTATTATGACTAATTTGACCTCCATGAATTCACCAAATTAGATAAAAATGAAAAAAAAAAGAATGTGAAATAGCAAAGCTCATCTAAGAAGAATTAACAGTATTGTATATACTAAATAATTGAATTTATGATTAAATATTTCCCACAAAGAGACTCCCAGGCCAACTAGAGCAAGTGGATTCTACAGGATATCTTAAAAAAATACTAATTCTTGACAAACCTACCAGAAAAGTGTCCAGCTCATTTTATGAGGTCATCATTAGCTTGATATCAATATTTGACAGAGTCATTACAAGAGAAGATGAAAAAAAGATATCTCTGATATCTCTCACAAATATGAACATAAATTCTTTATCAATATTAGTAGATGAAATCCATCAGTGTATTGAAAAAATAATTTTGATAATATGGGATTTGTTCCAAGAAAGAAAACTTGATTCAACATTTAAAAATTGATTGATGTGAACCACCTTATCAACAGATGTAAAAAATGATTATCTCAACAGATACAGGCAAAAGCTGGACAAAATTTAATACATGGACATTATAAAAACTTTCACTAAACTAGGAATGGAAGGAAATGTTTGCAATTTGATGAAGGTGATCTAGAGAAGCCTGTTTATATTCACTTACTAATGGAAGATCAAACTCTTCTCCACTAACATCTCAAAAAAAAAAAGCAATGATGTTCATTTTTACCATTTCTATTCATCATTCTACTGAAAAATTTAGTCAGTTAAATAATGGTAGAAAAATAAACTCAAAGAAAAAGCAACAATAAATATTAATAAGTCAATTGATTCAGCTTTTAGGATAAAAGATCAATATAAATATCCAGTGTATATCCAAATATTGGCAATAACAATTGAAAAGTTATAGAAAAAATAACATTGATAATAGCACTGAAAAACTTAGTTGTGAAACCACAGAAAATATCTGAAATAATCATATGTATCTAATTACAAAACACTGATGAAACTAATTAAAGTATACCCAGATAGACAAACACTGGTGTTGGGCTTATGGGCTGAAAATGTATATTGTTAAAGAAGTAATTTTCTCAATAAATATCTATATTCAGTGCAATCACAATCAAAACAGCAGATTTTTTAAAAAAAATTGTTTATTCAAAAAGCAGAGATACAGAGAGAAGGAGAGATAGAAAGAGAAAGAGAGAGAGAGAGAGAAACAGAGAGTCTTCCATCTGCTGGTTCACTCCCAAAATAGTGCAATGGCTGGGACTGGGCTAGGCCTAAGCCAGGAGCTTCTTCAGGGTCTCCCATGTGGATTCCAGGGCCCTAGTAATCGAGCCATCTTCTACTGCTTTCCCAGATTCCTTAGCAGTGAGCTGGACAGGAAGTGGAGCACATGGGACTTGAACCAGTGCCCATATGGGATGCTAGCATTTTAGGCTGAGGCTTAACCCAGTATGCCAAATCTCTGGCCCCAAAAACACAGTTTTTGAAGACACTGTTAACCTGATTTGAGGTTGTATATATTTATATAGAGATTCTACATTAGCCTACCATCTTTTAATAAATTTTTTAAAGATTTATTTATTTATTCGAAAGTCAGAGTTATACAGAGAGAGGAGAGGCAGAGAGAGTGCTTCCATCTGATGGTTCACTCCCCAGATGGCCAGAATGGCCAGAGCTGTGCTGATACAAAACCTGGAGCCAGGAGCTTCTTCTGGGTCTCCTACATGGGTGCAGGGGCCCAAGCACTTGGACCCTCTTCTACTGTTTCCCAGGCCATGCCAGAGAACTGGATTGGAAGAACAGCAACCAGGACTCGAACCAGCGCCCATATGGGATGCCGGTGCTTCAGGGTGTGCACCTGCTGCGCCACAGTGCCAGCCCCTTAATAAACTTTTAAAACTAAAATAATCAAGTTAGTATAGAACTGCCAAAAAATAGACATGTGGATTAATAAAACTACTTTAATAGAAACTAATTAATAGACTTCAGATGTAGACTCACAATACATATTCAGCTAATTTTTACAAAGTTAAAAGTACCAATTCTTCAAAAGAAATGAATTGAAGTCTTCTCAACAAATCGTGCTAGTTCAATTAAAATTAACATAAAAGTAACCTCACCTCATATCTTGACTGTACATAATATCCAATATTAAATGGATGACAGATCTAAATGTAAAACAAAACACTATAAAGTTTCCTTAGGAAGTAATAAGAAAGAAAAATAATTTTACAATTGGGTTAGAGGATGGTTTATTTTTCAATATGACAGAAAAAACATGAACAATGAAGCAATAATGAAACACACACTAATAAATGAAATTATCAAAATTCAATACTTTTGTTCATCTTGAAACATGATTAAGAGAGGTGTGTCATAGAATTATGGAAAATGTAATTCCCAATTACACTTTTGGTAATGATCTTTTATCTGGAATAAATGGAAAACATTTATAACATAGAGATCATCCAATTAAAAATTAGATAACTCATGTGAATAGGTAACTCATCAAAGAGAAGATTTACAACTAAGAATATAAATACCTGTTGAACATCTTAATTAAAATTACAATAAGGGGGCCAGTTTTGGCATAGCAGGTGTAGCCACCACCTGCAGTGCCAGTATCCCATATAGCTGCTCCATTTCCAAACCAGCTCTCTGCTATGGTCTGGGAAAGCAATGGGAGATGGCCAAGTCATTGGGACCCTGTGCCCCATGAGAGACCCAGAGGAAGCTCCTGGCTCCTGGCTTCAGACTGGTGCAACTCTGGCCATTGCAGCCAATTGGGGAGTGAACCACTGGATGGAAGACTTCTCCTCACCATCTCTCTTTGCCTCACTTTCTCTCTCTGTGTAACTCTGACTTTCAGATAAATAAATAAATTTTTAAAAATCACAATAAGGTATCATGACATACTACCAGAATAGCTATTATTTTTAAAAAACAGAAAGATTAATATGATCTCATGGATTCAGAACTTTTAGAAATATCACAAATTGCTGGCTGGAATGCCAAGCAATGCAGTCATTATGGAAAAAGCCTTTTCAGTGTCTTATTAATTTATACATACCTAAAGACACTGAGATACTACTTCTGGTTATTAACTCAGGAGATGAGAAGACATAAGTGCACAGATGGCTGGTGACATACTTACAAGCTTCATTCACAGGAACCCTCAACTTTAAAACAGCCCAAATACTCAACAAATTGGATTTGGACTAAGAGATATTGTGGCCTATGCATACTTTGAGTAATAACTCAAATAAAACAACAAATCACTGGCATATGCAACAACAGACCCAAATATCCATAACAGTCAACTCAGTGTGGACATAAACGCTTATGCAGTGTGTAGCCACATGACTTACTGGAAGAGGAAAAATACAGAAACTAAACCTAGACAGTGATTGCCCAGCCCTGATTTGATTAGTGATGGGAATAGGTGGTAGGACTAATTGTAAAGTGACAGGGAACATTTGGAATGATGAACATGTATACCTCAGTTACAATGCTGGATCTACCACTGTATAAATTCAGTAAACCACATTGCAATGTAAACCAAGAAAGTTTGGATACAAACTAAAAACTTTGGTGAACTGCAAAAATGTAAATGGAGTCCGTTAGAGAGGTAGAAGTTGTACATGTTTGTCGCTCCCCGTCTTCGTGGAGGAACGACACAGGACCCTGTGCTGTTCTTTTGTCTGCTCGGCCCTTCCCGGGTTTACTGCTGGTTCTTCCCGGGTTGGCTACCGACCCTTCCACCTCCGTGGAAGGGCGGTTCCCCCTGCCACATTCCCCACTTCCGCGGGGGAGCGGCACACCGCCGGCCGGCTTTCTCGGGGGCTGCACGGGTGTTCTCAGATGTTCCCCTTAGATGTTCCTCGTGCATGCCGTCTCTCTCCTCCTTTATAGTCCTCCTCCGCCAATCCCAACTCGGCTGCCCACACGCCGAGTAAGCTGCTCTCCTCCAATCAGGAGCAAGTCCTACAGTTTATTGGCTGAACTGGAGGCAGCTGTGTAGAAGCTGTTTCTTCCTCTCCCAGCGCCATATTGTGGGAGAGCAGATGCATAGAATAAGTCTTAATTCCAGTAACTTAGTCTAGTCCGAGTTGCTCCCCACACATGTTATGGACTAATCCTAAGAAAACTTTGGAGATGTTAGGGAGAAAGTTTGTAAAACTGAGTAACCCTTGGCCTTATGGTTAAAATCCCCATGACTTACATTGGAGTACCCAGGTTCAATTTCCAACTCCAGCTCCTGATTCCAACTTCCTGATAATACAGACCTGCAAGTCAATGGCAATGGTTCAAGTGACTGGATTCAGGCCACTCATGAGGGAAAACTGGACAGAGTTCTCAACTCTGAGCTTGTGCCTAGGCCAGTCTTGGCCATTGCCAGAATTTGGGGAGTAAACAAGTGAATTTTCTGCTGTCTGTTCCTGTTTTTTATTCTCTCTCTTTATCTACCACTCAAATTAATTTAAAAAAATAATAATCAAGTCAGCAAATGTGAATGTGAACCTTCTATACTGGCTGCTTGTTATATAGTATAACCATATAATTTCTGGTTTGAGTATAAATGGTGAACTTACATAAATTGAAGTCATTAACTTATGTATGAAGAATTGTAAAATAATTGTCTCTTCCTAGTTTTAAGGAATATAGCATGAATAGCTCAAAGAAACACTGTTCCATTTTCTTGTTTACTTTGATTTAATTTCAAAATTAATGTCATAGTCAAAAGCTATTAAACAAAATAATGTAAAGTAAAAATGAAATCCTATCCCAGATTCCTTCACAATAACCTCCCTGGAGTGGGCATTTGTTCTCATGGATTGAAATGCCAGTTTAATGTGCCAGAGTTCCGTATCTGCCAGTTAGGATTTGATAGCTGATTCCAGCCATTTACCAAAGCAGAACCCTGGTAGCTCCAGGTAACAGCTCAAGTAGTTGGGTTCCTTTCTTCTGTGTGGTAGACCTGGATTTAGTTCTTGTCTCTGGCTTTTGTCCTGACTCCTCCAGACCTTTGCCAGCACTGGGAGTAAACTAGATAATGAGAGCTCTCTCTCCACTGCCTCACCCCATCTGTCTCTTCGCCTTTCAAATAAATTAAATTAAACCAGAATTCTCCAAACTTAAAAGTATCCATTTAAGAGACATGTAAACAGTGATTGTGGACAACTGACTTGCTGTGTGCTGTCCACGGGCACAAAGTAAGTTGCATGTTTTAGGCATATTCTTTCAAGTTACCTGTGTTCAATGTCATGTGCTTAGATGAATCTAGTAAAGTTGTTAAGCACACCTCCACTTGACAAGCCTGAAGGGCTAGAGAGTGGACTGTTAGAATGGGAAATTCATGTTTCTGATCACTCAGGGTTCACATAGATGATCAGGCTTTCCAGGGCTATGCTTCCCTATGTACATCTTTCTTTCAAGAAAAAAAAAACAGACTTTGTGTGAAACAGGTTCACTGTGCCTTGGTTACCAGTGTCTGAGCCTTTTGGCACAGAAATCTCATGCACACAAGTTGCATAAAGCAGGTGTAGTACTCATGGATAAACAGCAAGGGACAACAGATGCCTAGGGCAGAGAGCAAGCCCGGCCAGTGAGGTTCAGGACAGCTGTCTAGGAATGACAGGACCTCCACTGCGTATTTCCCACTTGAGAGCTCCAGAACCCCAGGGCCACGTGAGTATGCACTTGAAGTGTTGAAGGACAACCTGTTTGTAAGGGAACTGGGACAGTAGCAGGCAGCTATGGTCCCAATTTCCACCCCATCTCCTTTTTTTCTCAGCAAAATTCATGGTTATTCTTCAAAGCTAAAGTGAGAAATGAAGAACTGGTGTCAACCCAAAGCCATCTGGAGACCTGTCCAGCACACTGCATGTGAGAGCCTGCTTTATTTCATGTATTCCATGAGCCTGTGCACAGTTAAACATAAAAATAACAGCTCTCAGACTTCACCACAATTAAGGTTTAGGAGTCAGGATTTCTTTTTTGGAAAATCCAAGTAAAAATGTGAAATATGTGAGTAAGCAACTCTAAAGACAAAGTTGAATCTGATATGTTTGGAAAAGATAATTACTGACATGCACACTGAAATACTAATGAAAAAGAAAACATTTTGGTCTTCAAGGATTGAGAAAGTGATTTTTCCTTAAAAAGAGAGATTTTGTTCCAGCTGTAAGTGGTCATCCAAACTTTCGTCTTAAGCAGTTTGAAATTGATAACAATATTTTTCCAAAACAATTATTATCTAAAGATAATTAAATAAAAGACATGTGACTCTAAAATATTGACCATTTCAATGATGACTTTACAAAGAAGATATGTAGGAACTTCCTATATCTAGATATTTAGTCTGCTACTAAATTATATTGAAAAAGCCTCTATCAGGAGTAATTATTTCTGTTTGTAGGCCATTGATATATTTGCTTTATTTATAGATTGATTTTCACCTCAGAAAATCAGCAGAATTATCACAAGTAATATTTCATCTAATGTCAAAGAAATTAATTTATTCTTTTCCATATTTACATCTATGGAGTTGTTCTATTTTCCAATTGTCATTTTTCAACCATGGCCTCTCTCATTGACCCAGAAAAAGCCCCCTTCCATGTCATAGATTGGTAGCTGAAGTTGTGTTACAGGCATCTTCTTGGTTGTGGGACAGATTCAAATGCTCACTTTGCTTACCTTGCTTTTTTTGCCTACACTAAACCAAATCTTTTCCTAACTATCCACACAATCACTTCTCCCTCCCCAGTTATTCATAATGTAAATTGTGGTGAGAGGTATTATGTTCAAAGTACCAAGGGAACAGTGCCTAGAATTTTTACACAAGCAATGACTGCATGTCATTTCTGAAACTTATTTTAAGATCCTAGAGTCCCAAGTTCATATTTGGCATAGATGAGTAAGAAAAACTCAGGTTCATGCCATTAACTTGTATTATTTCTGTTTCATTCCATTCTCTCTCTTCCTTACAGAATGATAGTAGCAGTAGTAGGTATCAGGTGCTGACCCATTGTATCTGATATTCTTTTTTTTCAGATATTATCTCCTGCATGTTATGTTTTATTGTATTTTATTTTCCTGTTGGAGGTGGAATTCTGTTTCTCCTTTTTTAAAGATTTATTTATTTTGAAAATTGGACTGAGAGAGAGAGAGAGAGAGAGTCTCATCTGCTGATTCACTCCCCAGATGCTCACAATGGACAGGTCTGGGCCAGGCCAAAGCCAGTAGCCATGAATTTCATTTAGGCCTCCCACTTGGGTAAAGGGACCAAATACTTGGGACATCTTCCACTGATATTTCCAGGCCATTAGTAAGAGCTAGATCAGAAGTGGAATAGCTAACACTTACATGGGATCTCATAGGTGGTGGCCTTTACCCAGTGCCCAACAAGACCAGCCTGGAATTTGGTTTTTCAATCATAAATTATAAATTTGGAATTTGGGTTCATAAAACCACCCCCATACACTTGGACAATGCCAGACTCATATCTCATCAGCCCACATAAGAAAATAACACAGATTTATAATATGGAAATTGGGAATGAAATTAACAGAATTGGCATTTGTCTTAGTGCGTTTTCTGTCACTAACAACACAATACAACAGATTGGGCAAAGTACACAGAAAAAAGACTTACCCTGGCTTGTGACGGTGGTCCAGGTTTGAGAGGCCACACCTGGTGATGGCTTTCTTGCTGGTGAAGACATCATCTTGCAGGTGGAGGGCACCAGTCACTACGGAGCTTCTGTTGCTGGTCTGTTCTCAAGATAATCTGTTAACCCAACATTCACATGCATAGGTTAACCCAGTCATGAGAAAGTCCCACCTTGGTCCCACTTCTTAATATCTCATAATGGGGATTAAATTTCAACAAGTGTCAGAGGAGGCAGATACATTTAGACAACAGCAGCAATCTAGAACTGTTTCAAATATCATCTGACCACGTGCTCTTCTTATAAAATTTTGTAGAACTCATTACTGAGACATTTTGTAAGCTTCACATGTCATGTTTTGGGTCCAACATATTTTAGTTTATTTTTATTCATTACACATAATACTTTTATTAAGCCATGGAGCTAAAATTATAACATGTCATTTGTATAGGAATTATTTTGAAAATATAATGAGACTATAAAAATATCTGGAAATAATATTTGCTGGAATAACCTTAATCTATTCCTCTGCAGTATGACGGATTTAAAACAGGTACATGAAAGAAGTGGTAAAAGGAATTGGATGCTATCTATATATTTTATGAATTAGTTTCTCATTTTTAAAAATCAAAAAGAAGCTTCAAGACACCAAGAAGAGAAATCTAGAACAAGGTTGGTTCATATTCAGTGTGTTATTGTTAAAATAAATTCACACAGTACAGTTATCTAGTACCTACCTAAAGGTTGAAAATAACAAGTGTCTGGAGCAGACAAAGTGATACAGCAAATTAACCAGGTGTTCGGGATGCTTGCACCCCATGTTGGACTACCTGGGGTCAAGCTCCAGCTCTGCTTCTAATCCAGATTCCCACTAATTAATCCTAGGAGTCTAGGGCTAATGGCCCAGGTGCCTTGACTTCTGGGGTCCATACAGAGCACCCAAGTGGATTTTCTGAGCTCCTGACTGTACTTTGGCCCAATTCTGGCTATTGTGGGCCTTTGGAGAGTGAATCACTGAACTGAAGTTTCTTTTTCTCCCTCTCTTCTTCTCTCTCTGATTTTTTTCTGTCTTGTTCTCATCTTTTCTGTCACTCTGCCTTCCAAGAGTGTGAAAACAAACATGTTAAAAAAAAAAAAACAGCAAGTGTCCAGTTGGTCTTGAACCCCAGCTGGCATTCCTTATTGAGGTATGATTTATGAAAAGACAAGCATCTGCAATTTCCAAGAAAACTGCTGATCTTTACTATTAAGAAATTCCTGGATACTAATGAGTAACTTTTCTAGGACCTGAGAAAGCAAGATTATGAAATGAAGAGCACATTTAAACATTCACCTGTCTCAATCCCACTCACTTTTCCTTTTTCTTTAAAATATTTTCTGACAGATTTATTGTTTTTAATTTATTTGTTTATTTGAAAGACAAAGAAACAAAGACAGACAAAGAAATCTTGCAAGCATGCTTTGCCTTCGGAATTCCTGCCACAGTCAGGATTGGGCCAGTGTGAAGCCTATGCCTGGGAAAGCAGAGGGAGGCAGCCCAAGGACTTAGGCCCCTGAACCCACAATGGAGTATTGAATAAAGTCCCTGGCTTCCGCTTCAGCCTGGCCCAGCCCCGGCCTTTGTAGCCACCTCGGGGATGAACCCCAAGATGGACAATCACTCAGAGAGAGAGAGAGAGAGCTCGCGATGCCCCCTGCATTGCTTCTCTCCCCAAAAGGCTTCAATGGCTAGCCTGAGCCAGGCAGAAGCCAGGAAGCAGGAGCTCCAGTCAGGATGCCCGCAACATAAGGGGGAAGGGTCCAGAGTACCTGGGCCAACAGTGGCTGCGTCCCTGGGTCAAAGCCTGGAGCAGTGGGACTGGAAGCGGCCCTGTGGCATCGGACACTGGACAAGGAACCGTGCATATGCGTCACGCGGCGCCATGGCGGCTTCGCATGAGGAGTGCGCCTGCGCCGGAGCTGTGACCCGGAAGTGCAACCGCACGCGCGGCCCCTTCTGCCCAGTGGTGCTCAGGTGGGAGTCGGCGCCGCGTTCTCTCCTGCCCGGGGCCTGCACGAGCCCTGAGGAGCCGTTCTGAGCGACGCTGCACGCCACGCCTGGGGAGACCCAGCGCCCCCAGGGTCAGGCCCGGATCAGGAGGGGCTGCGGCCCGAAGCGGTGGGTTCATTTCCTTGGGATTCTGTTAATTTCTGGGCTCGGTCCTCTTCTTCGGCCGCTTCTGGAAGTCTACACCTCGGGACTCAATTTCTGTTCCTAAGGAGCAGTGGCCTTCCTGTCACGGGGTAGGCGGGGCCCGGGTGCACAAAGCGGGGAGGGTGTGTGTGTGTGTGTGTGAGGGGTCGCGGGGACGGAGGAGGAGAGAGGGGGCCAAGGGGGAGAATGAAAAGGGGGCAGGAAGGTGGGGAGGCGAGGAAGGGAGGGGAAGAAACGCGCGTGGGGGAGAGGAAAGGGAGGGGAGAGTGACAGCAGTCCCTGGAGCAGCGGCGGGGTGGGGGGGTCGGGAGGTTGGGAGAGGAACTTTTCCCGCAGCCCCGGTTCCGTTTTTGGGGGTTTTCTATCCTTGGCCGGAAGTAGCCTTGGCCTCTTCAGTGAGAAGAGGCCGTGACGGCCTCCCTTATCCAGGTTGTTCGGGAGTGTAACCTGTGTGCAGGAACACAGGGGCATGGGGCGCTTGAATTAATATGCATGTAATCTGACTTTTCACAGTCTGCACACACGGAGGAGAAAGAAACGTAAGAGGAACCCAAGAATCGCTCTGTGCTCTGTTCTAGCTTGCCCCAGGCTTCTGACACCTCATACTAAGTACTAGTTTTTTTTCTTCTGTTTAAAGATTTGTTTGAGGGCCGGCGCTGCGGCTCACTAGGCTAATCCTCGGCCTTGTGGCGCCGGCACACCGGGTTCTAGTCCCGGTCGGGGCGCCGGATTCTGTCCCGGTTGCCCCTCTTCCAGGCCAGCTCTCTGCTGTGGCCAGGGAGTGCAGTGGAGGATGGCCCAGGTGCTTGGGCCCTGCACCCCATGGGAGACCAGGAGAAGCACCTAGCTCCTGCCATCGGATCAGCGCGGTGCGCCGGGCACAGCGCGCCGGCCGTGGCGGCCATTGGAGGGTGAACCAAGGCAAAAAAGGAAGACCTTTCTCTCTGTCTCTCTCTCTCACTGTCCACTCTGCCTGTCAATAAATAAATAAATAAATAAAAGATTTGTTTGAAAGGCAGAGTTATAGATGAGGCGGTGCGGGAGAGATCTTCAATGTATGGGTTCACTCCACAGGTGGCTATAATGGTCAGAGCTGCGCCAGGCCAAAGCAGAAGCTAGGGACTTTATCCAGTACTCCAGTGTGGGTTCAGGGGCCCAAGCTCGTGGGCCACTTCCTCTACTTTCCCTGGCATGTTAGCAGACAGCTGGATCATAAGTCGAACAAAGGGTGTGGGGGCGCAGAGCCGATGAAACTGCTGCCTCCAGTACTGGCATCCCATATGGGTGTTGGTTCCAGTCCCAGCTGCTCCACTTCCGTTCCAGCTTTCTGCTGGGGCCTGGCAAAGCAGTAGAAAGTGGCCCAAGTCCTTGGACCCCTGCACCTGTGTGGGAGTCCTGGAGGAAGCTCCTGGCTCCTTGTTTCAAATCAGCTTAGCTCCGGCTGTTGCGTCCATCTAGGGAGTGAACCTGCCGGTGGAAGACTTTTCTCTGTCTCTGTCTCCATCTGCCTCTCTGTAATTCTACTTTTTAAATGAATAAAGAAATCTTAAAAAAAAAAAAAGTGTAACAGGCAGGAATCCAGTTGGCAACTCTATGGAATGACATTGTTGCAGGCAGTGTCACAACCTGCCATGGCACAAGGCAGGTCCCTGTAAGTACTTTTCTGTCCACTGTTTCTTTTTAGCTGAGCAAAAACAGGATACGTGAATTTAATCACTAATATATATTTAATAATTTTCATTGTACTTTATACTTACGTTTCTATAGTTATTATAAATGATAACATTTAGTAATTATGGAAGCATTCAAGTTTTTTGTTTCTCTTTATGTGAATTTTGGCATATTCTACGTTTCAAGGAATTCACATAATTATCTTATGAAATTTTTGGTCACAGAGTTAGTTGTTCATACTATTCCTTTACATTAGCTTGATCATGGGGTCGTGGTGTCACCGTTTCATTAATAATATAGTAATTTGCACCTTTTTTTTCTTGGTTGGTCCTGATAAGGAGTTCACGAATATTGTTGATGTTTTCAAAGAACCAAATTTTAGTTTTGTTGCTCTTTGTCTGCAGTTGTACTTTTTTCAGTTCCATTGACTAGTACTTCTAACTTTCATGGTTTATTTTCTTCACCTGGCTTTAAATGGTTAAGTTGCTTTTCTTCCTCTGACTTCTAGGGTGAAAGCGTAGTTCATTGATCTTGGTTCTTCTTTTCTAAAATAGGCATCTATTAATATGAATTGGCAGGATACAGTTTCAATTTAGTTTGAAATATTTTTTATTTGAGATCTATAAACGTGTTACTTTGAGGTTTGTTGATTGTTCTCCAGTTTTTTGTTATTTTCCAGCTTTTTCATACTGACTTTTTAGGTAGTTGCATTGTGATCTGAGAGCTTACATTGTGTGGCGCCTCTTAGGAGTTGAGGTCTGCTGTGCACCCATGAACGTGGTCAGAGTGGATGTGCTGTGTGGGTCTGAGAAGTGTGTCGTGTTCTGTTGCTGTGAACGGAGCATCCTCTAAGGATCCATTTGGCACATGGTTGATTTAGGTGCTTTTCTGTTCAGTTACATCCTTACTGATTGTCTAACTGCTGATCTGCTAACGAAAGAGATGTCTTGACATCTGTGAGTGTAATAGTGCATTTGTTTATTTCTCTTTGTAGTTTTAACAATTGTTGTTTATGTATTTTGGCATGAGGTTTATTTTTGAACTCACAATCGTACTCCATTGAAATGTGTATCGTCTATTCTTTCATGAATCCCAAACCATCTTGGTTATCATAATTTTATTGTAAGTCTTGAGACGCAGTATTGTGGTTTCACCCAGTTCCTTGTTTTTCATGGTGGACATGATAGTCAATTGTCTTGGGTTTTCCTGATTACAGTCAGGTTTCTTTGTTTGTTTTTCTCAAAAAAAAAACTCTTATTTAGATTATCTTAAACCTATGGAACCATTTTACAAGAAACGGTATCAATAATATTCAACCTTCCAATCCTATACACAGTGTATTTACTTAGATCTTCTTTAGTTTCCTTCATCAGCATTTTAATCTTCAGCCAACATATTTTCTATTTTATTCATAGAGTTATAAGTTTTCATTTTTTATGCTATTTTAATTTTTATATCAGTATCTACCTGTGCATTGATGGTAGTATACAATTGATTTCCTAATAAGTAATTGGTTTTTATAGATACTTTATTTATTTGAAAGGCAGAGCTAGAGGTCTGTTCACTGATGGTAGTACACACTTGATTTTCTAATAAGTAATTGTTTTTTTAGATATTTTATTTATTTGAAAGTCAGAGCTAGAGGTAGAGGCAGAGGGAAAGAGACAGAGACAAATAGAGGTCTTCCAGAGGTCTTCCAGGTTCACTCCCCAGATGGCTGCAGTGGCCACAGCTGAGCCAATCAGAAACCAGGAACCAGGAGTTTCTTCTGGGTGTTACAGGGAGGTACAGAGGCCCAAGGACTTGGGCCATCTTCCACTACTTTCCCAAGCCATAGCAGAGAATAGGATCGGAAGTGGAGCATCCAGGACTTGAGTGGGTGCCCATGTTGGATGCCAGCACTGCAGGTGGCGGCTTTACCTGATGGGCCATAGTGCTGCCCCTGTAATTGATATTTTTACATTACCCTTCTACCCACCATGGTGTTGCTAAAATAATTTATTATTCCTAGTAGCTCTTTAGAAAATGCTTTTGGAACTATTTGTAATAATATGTCTTCCTGATTTTTTAGTGGCTTAAATAACAAATGGCTGTGGCCTCATTGCGATGGCTGCAAATGGCCCAGAAGTATGTGGAGTAAAAGTCCCTTGCACCTTCTGCACAGTTAGCACCAGTTGCTGCGGGTACACACATATGCTGTATGGATGTGCCTGCTTTCTGGATTCTCCAAGCAGAGAACCCTGCTGTGGGCCCCATTTTCCTGTGTTTCATAGTGGAGCTGGAAGGTGCAGCTGAAGGTTCTGGGTTGACTCCAGACTGTGCCCTGTACTGAGTGACTAATTTATTCTCCATGCCTCAGTGTCCCCAATGGGGCCATGGGGTTAACAGCAGTGTGACCCCGTGAGACTGCAGTGGAACTCTGAGGAATTTTATGGGACAGTGCTTTGTGTTATTACTGTTCTTTACTATTATTTATGTTATTTGCATCATTATTATTTTATTCTCATGAGTCTTTTGTTTGTACCTTGTTGCTTTCTTCTGTTTGCTTATTTTAATTTTGCAGGACTGGCATTGAGACAGAGCAGGTTAAGCTGCTGCCCATGCTGGCATCCCATATGAGTGCCAGTTCAAGTCCTAATTGCTCTACTTGCAATCCAGCCCCCTGCACATGCACACTGAAGACAGCAGAGGATGGCACAAGCACTTGGACCACTTACACCCACATGGGAGTCCCAAATGGAATTCCAGGCTCCTGGCTTCAGCCTGGCCCATCCCTGGTTAGTGAGGCTATTTTGAGGGTGAAACAGCAGATGGAAGAGATATTTCTCCCTTTCCCTCCCCATTCTCTCTCTGTATAATGTTGCATTTAAAAAATTTTATTTATATCAAGGGAACAAATTTCATATACTTCATATACACACTTATAAGAACATAATGATACTTCCCACTACACCCTTCCTCTCTCCCTCACTCCCACCCTGCTCCTCCCTCCTTTTATTCTTTTAATTTTTACAATGAATACTTTAAATTTACTTTATTTAGTGGAGGGTTAAGCTTGTGATTATGAAGAATTCAACAAGTAGTAAGTAGAAAAACTATTCCTCTAGAGTATAGACAAGGGCTATAAACAATAACCAAATCTCAAAATGCCAGTTTTGCTCATATACATCATGTTCCTTTGGATTATGTTAGTTACCACAAATCAGGGAAAA